CCTGTTGTTTCCATAATAAAAATGGCATAGATTGACACGCAAAATAAATCGTCCTGCAGACGCAATCGGATGGCGATTGGCGCAGCTGGAGCGCACTCCAGGTAAAATGGAAAAATTCCATCTAACTTTTGTGGAAAAGGAAAATCGGAGCCCAACGGCAACGGGTACTGCGCGACCCACCCACCCAAGCCCTAGCCCTAGCCCTAACGGCGTACTGCGCGTCTCGAACTTTCTGCCTCGCCCATTTTCTAACCTATCCCCTCTCTGAGTCACCACTCGTACCGAACGGCAGAAAACAGAGCACACAACTTCCCCCACCAGACGCCGCAAACTTCCCTCAAAATCCCCAAATCGGCTCGGACGCGCATCGAATCGAGGTAAGGTGCACCATGATTAGTTTGCTAATCTCGATTTCCTGCTTGTTTGGTTTCGTGGGGAATCGCTGCGTGTGCCCAAATTTTAGGGGAAAGTTTCAGCGCATCTGAGGTCAATCAGGTCGGCTGTAGGTTCTGATACGTGCGGTTTCTCCCTCTAGCTTGGTGGATCTCGCGATTCGAGTTCTGCTACTTAGCCACTCATGATCTCTCACAGGGTTCCCTGATTTTGATAGCCTAGCTTGTTTTTCTTTAGTTTACGGGCGCCATAGTATGAGTTATGAGGGCTGCTATAGTAATAAGTTCTTCGTGTGTCGCGGTTACTGCTGTTGGTGAGGTCCAGTGAGCCGAGTGAAGTGCCGCTAGGGTTTGTAGCCGCGACACAAGCTTATCTGTGAAGTCAAATCACGAAAAGAGATTCTAAACGGTTCTATGAATCCTGGGGCGTTTGCACGCTGCCAAGTGACAAGTACTGACAGACACCATATGCATCGCTTGGTTATCAAACGAGCACGTTTCCTAATTATTATGTATTGCTTGGATGCTTATGTTCTTACTGTTTGTGATGTGGTGTACTAATTGAAGGTTATGTGTCGATTTTGCTGCAGTGAGATGAGCCGCCCGGACGACGGACATAGGTCTTTCTTCCCTGTAGGAAACCCCTTCCGGGTCATCCTCCCAGGGGGGCCTCACCTGCCTCGGAAGGTCCAGGCGCTGCTCAAGTCATACGAGGATGCCCTGGCCTTGAGCTTGAGGAAGCTAAAGCCGGAGAATGCCTTGGAGGTCCTCACCTTGTCCTGGATGAGGCTTGCTGTGGATTGCTTGTCAGAGCTGCATGCCAACATAGGGACCCTGATAACCGAGCTCGAGCTGCCTGTCTCGGATTGGGATGAGAAGTGGGTGGACATTTACTTGAACAGCAGCGTGAAGCTGCTGGACATCTGCATCGCGCTGAGCTCTGAGCTCGCTCGGTTGGATCAAGGGCAGTTGCTTGTGAAGTATATCCTGCATGTGTTGGACACCAAAAGTGGTGTGCCGTCATTGGAACAGCTCAAGCGAGCTGAGGTATCATTGAAGGAGTGGATGGACAAAGTGGACACATCGCGCCCAAGGCTCGACAGCTGCTCAACGGCCTTGCAGGAACTTGCTGGGAGCCTTTGTCTGATGAAGGTCAAGAATTCTGCTAAGGGGAAGGTCCTCATGAGAGCTTTGTATGGAATAGAGTCTGTGACTGTCTTCACCTGCAGCGTCTTTGTGGCCGCACTGTCAGGTAGCCCCAAGCCATTGGTGGAGTTGCATGTCCCTCAGAAATTTGGTTGGTCACAGGCCTTCAATGATCTTCATGCCACCATCAGTGGGGAAGTCAAAAGGCGATTGTCCAGAGGAAGTGTTTCAGCTGTGAAAGAGCTGGAAGAAGTTGAAGCATGTGCCAGGAAACTGCATGCATTGACTAGGACTGCTCAGCTTGAAGAAGAAAATGACAACCTGGCTTGTGCTGTCAGCCTTTCAAAGCAAATGGTGATGCCGGACATCACTGAACAGAAAGAAAAACCTGAGTGTAATCTTAAGCCAGCTGATGACAGTAGCCAGGAGTGTGAAATGACCATGATAGAAAGTAGTACTGAAGAAGGAACACAAGAAGCTGAAATTATGCAGGATACCGACTGTGGGGATAAGCTGATCTTGCTTGAGAGTATCAGTGAAGATAATAACAACATAAGTGGGACAAATGGCTTCATAGACGAGGACAACACCATCATTCCTGAGAGAACCAGTGTCTTGGAAGGCAGAGAAGAGCTGCTGGACTGTATCTCCAGCATGTCGAAAAGCGCCGAGGGGCTTCGGCTTGGGTTGGATTCGTTGTCGAAGCGTGTCGGGGACTTCTTCCAGATCGTGCTTACAGGACGTGACGCTTTGCTCTGAAATCTAAGGATGTCAGATGCAGCAAGCAAGGTCACTGAGGTTAGGTCTTGATTCGCTACGTTTCAGATGTGTATGTTCTCTGTAGGTGTGGTGTAACATGTGTATAGACGGCTTGGCAGCGCATACTTGTACACCGCTCTTCTGACATGTGGCCCCTGCTCAGCCTCAGCGGAACTAAGTCAGGGCACCATATTTCAGCGGCGATGTGCATAATCTTGGGCTGCCAGTTGTGTTGTGTGGGGTCGTAGGTTTGATAGTCCTTGTGTTCTTAGTTTTTTGTCGAGTAGAGGTAATAGTAGACAAAGTGTGCAGTATCAGTGGAATGTACAATGCCGAGAGGACAGTAACTGTTTCATATGTATGCCGAAGTGTGTTGCCAGCAATGTTAGATATGAAAGGTGCATCGTGAAGGGCAAAGCAAAATCTTTGAGGTATCTTGCATTTCCTATGATTAAACTTGTGTATTGTCATCCGTTGGGTGCTGCTCGTGCCGCAGTGTTACTCGAATCTTTAGCAACATCAGGAGGCAGAAATCACTGTTTTAACCTAAGGACGAAATCAATTCACAAATTGAACTGTTCTGAGAAAAAATTCACCCAACTGACCTTTTTATGTGGCGCCCGATAGCTAGGTGCCACACTACACTGTGCAGTGCCTAACACACAGGCGCTACACATCTGGACAGCGTGGCACCCGGGAGCCAGGCCTAGCCCCATCCCTGATGGTGCAGCGCCTAGGCGAAAGGCGCTACACTATCATGTGCAGCGCCTAGACGAAAGGCGCTACACATGCACTTACTAACCATCTCGGGGGCAACAGAGAGCAAGACTAAAAATTGATTGATCCACCACGCGTGGCCTGACCGGCGAGCTTAAACGCATAGGGCGCGGCGTGACCTGACATGCCATGACATGCACGGTCAGAATTTGAGTTACTACCTGCTGTGGTTGATCTGCAGGTTGGTTGGCTCAGGGGTAGAGACTGGCTGCTGGTCACGTATTTGTACACCCATGCTCCTGCGGTTAAAAGCAAGCAAGCACGGACCCTTGGACGGTCACCGTGGATCTTCTCCATCCCTGTTATGTGTCGGCCACTATGCAATCAGATCAAATGATCTTCTTAGAAAAAAAAGAGCCCGGGGTATGATCAGAACGAGCATATGTGCATGGATCGATTAAATAAAAGGAATATGTAGCCAAAGATCAACAAGAGTGAGCGCGCGCTGGAGAGAGTAGTATATTTTCGTTTAGTTTCGCCAGATTTTGTCTCTCCTTCAGTAATGACCAGGCATTGAGCACTGGAGTACAACTAGCATCTAGCCAGTGTAGTTAATCAAGAATAGTGTCGGCCGGCCCGTGGTGGTAACAGTAAAACGGAAGCGCAGAGCTGTTGCTACTAGCCACTGCAGGGCAGTACGTACGTAAACAGTAAATGCGCAACAGAACTTACCAGTAGTAGGGATAGATTCATCGCATGGCATATCTACCTACTGCGAGCAAGGCAGGGCAAGTGCAGGTAGTAACTCAAATTTTGACCATGCATGTCATGTCACGCCACGCCCTATGCGTTTACAGCTCAGCCGGTCAGGCCACATGCGGTGGATCAATCTTGCAGCGCCTAGACGTTAGGCGCTACACTGTATCGTGTAGCGCCTAGCTCTCAGGCGCTGCACACCGACTTAGCAATTTTTAGCTTTGCTCTCTGTTGCCCCGAGGCGGTTACTAAGTGCATGTGTAGCGTCTTTCGTCTAGGCGCTGCACATGATAGTGTAGCGCCTTTCGCCTAGGCGCTGCACCATCAGGGGTGGGGTCAGGCCTGGCTCCGGGGTGCCACGCTGTCCAGATGTGTAGCGCCTGTGTGTTAGGCGCTGCACAGTGTAGTGTGACGCCTAGTTATCGGGCGCCACATAAAAAGGTCAGTTGGGTGATTTTTTTTCAAAACAGTTCAGTTTGTGAATTTATTTCGTCCTTAGGTCAAAAACAGTGATTTCTGCTACATCAGGAACCAGTGGTTCGGCCGACAAGAACCTGTTACTTCTAGTGAAAGATTCCATCCTAATTTTTTAATAGATCTCACGTTGCAGCCGCTCTCACTTCAGGCGTGCATCACGCGTCTAGGGAGGCTGAAATCTGAATGGGACGATGGTCCATTTTGTAGAGTATCTTGGAAATCAAACACTATGGCTACTCTACTCTATTATGACATGCCTTGACTCTACTAAAATCTACTCTATTATAACATGGCCCTTGGATCTGGAATTTGGATCTGGAATGGACAGCGCAGATCGAGCACTGTAGCAACAAAACATTGTATCTCCTCTATTATCCCTCCCCTTGCTTTCAGATGCATTGGATTGTACTCGCTGCGTTCCAAAATATAAGAAAGAACGTTTTTAACACTACACTAGTGTAAAAAACATTCTTATATTATGGACGGATCCCTCTGTCCTAAAATATAAAAACGTTTTTAACACTACACTAGTGTAAAAAACGTTGTGATATTATGAGACAGCGGAAGTATTAAATAAACGAAGCATGCTTGTTGACGTGTTGTTATCATCGTTTCCTTTATCCAACCAGCAGTATCCGTCAAGGGAAGTAGCTTCAGCAGCACCCCACTTACTGAAAATCTGAAGCAAAGCATAGCTAAGATGAACTGACGAGACGGAGCACAACGAAGCAAGAAGCGAAGAAATCAATCACCATGGAGGCATGGCTCCTGCTCCCTGTCGCCCTCCTCCTCCCCCTCCTCATCGTCCTGCTCGCGCAGCGCGTCGCGGCCGGGGCGGGTAAAGCCAAGAACGGCAGCCACATCCCGCCTGGCCCGCTCGCCTTGCCGTTGCTCGGCAGCCTACTGTGGCTGAGGCACTCCTCAGCCGACGTGGAGCCCCTACTCCGGCGCCTCATGGTGCGGTATGGCCCCGTCGTGTCCCTGCGCGTCGGCTCCCGTCTCTCCATCTTCGTGGCCGACCGGCGAGTGGCCCACGCCGCCCTGGTTGAGCGCGGCGCCGCTCTGGCTGACCGCCCGGCGGTCACGCGCGGCCTCTTCGGCGAGACCGGCAACACAGTCGCGCGCGCCAGCTACGGGCCCGCGTGGCGCCTCCTGAGGCGCAACCTCGTCTCAGAGACGCTGCACCCGACGCGTGTCCGCCTCTTCGCGCCTGCGCGCGCCTGGGTGCGCCGCGTGCTCGCGGACAAGCTGCTGCGGGAGTCCGGCCCCGGCGTGGAGGCGGCGACCCGCGGGGTCCTGGTCATGGAGGCGTTCCGGTACGCCATGTTCTGCCTCCTCGTGCTCATGTGCTTCGGCGAGAGGCTCGACGAGGCTTCGGTGCGGGCGGTCGGCGCCGCGCAGCGCGACTGGCTCTTGTACGTCGCGCGAAAGACGAGTGTCTTCGCCTTCTGGCCGGCTGTCACCAAGCACCTTTTTCGCGGCCGTCTCAAGATGGGCCTCGCCCTGCGGCGGCGGCAGAAGGAGCTCTTCCTGCCGCTGATTGACGCGCGGTGGGAGCGCAAGAAACAGATCAACCGAGGCGCCGGCGTGGTGTTGCCGATGGCGGAGACCACGTTCGAGCACTCGTACGTGGACACCCTGCTCGACATCAAGCTCCCTGAAGAAGAGGCTGGCCGCGCGCTCACGGACGACGAGATGGTCATACTCTGTTCCGAGTTCCTTATCGCCGGAACCGACACCACCGCCACCGGGCTGCAATGGATCATGGCTGAGCTCGTCAAGAACCCGGCCATCCAGGAGAAGCTCTATGACGAGATCAGGACCACAACTGGTGGCGACCAGGCAGAGGTCTCCGAGGAGGACATCCACAAGATGCCTTACCTCAAAGCCGTCGTCCTTGAGGGACTGCGCAGGCACCCACCGGCGCACTTCTTGCTGCCGCACAAGGCGATGGAGGACATGGAGATTGACGGGTACCTGATCCCGAAGGGCGCCACTGTGAACTTCATGGTGGCCGAGATGGGCAGGGACGAGCGGGAGTGGGAGAAGCCGATGGAATTCGTGCCAGAGCGATTCTTGCCGGGCGGCGATGGCGAGGGGGTGGATGTGGCCGGCAGCAGGGAGATCAGGATGATGCCATTCGGCGTCGGGAGGAGGATCTGCGCCGGGCTCGGCGTCGCCATGCTTCACCTTGAGTACTTCGTGGCCAATTTGGTCAATGAGTTCGAGTGGCGTGAGGTTCCAGGCGACGAGGTGGACTTCGCCGAGAAGCCGGAGTTCACCGTCGTCATGGCCAACCCGCTGTCCGCGAGGTTGGTGCCCAGAAGCAGGAGCTGACGGTGCTTTAGACAATCACACTACTTGCTGAACCTGCTTGCCTGAACTGAATGTTCACATGTGTATATCTCAGTGGCTGATGTCTCATGGAATCTCATCTGATCATTTTGAGCTTCAGTTAACAGAGCAAATACCGTTCTCATCTTTATTTTAAATTAGAGTCACACCAAGGATATATATCTAGGATTTTTTGTTTGTTTTTGCCACTCTGGCTTTTTGTCTATTTTCCTGATGCTACTCTAAAATTTGACATTTCACTTTTGTCACTTTTTCGCTTTTGACAATGTATCTCAATTATCATTCCGTGGCAAAAGCAAAGATGTCATATTAATCACCAATGAGCAATTTGTTTCTTTTGCCATGAAATTGCGATGTGTTGTCAAAAACTTTACAAAAGTGAATGTCAAGAATTAGAGTGGCATAAGGAAAATGGCAAAAGCTTGAGTGGCAAAAATAAAATTATCTCATAAATCTACTATAGTTCGGTGATTACAAACGAAGCATATTTTTATGGATCATAATGTGTTGAGTTTTTATCTGAAACCATAATGAGGTCAGGAGTTTCTTTTTATGGGAATGAGGTTTTCTTTTTTGCATCTCAACACACTTCCATTAACTTAATAGGGGGGTTACACCCGTTTTGCCAGTAACTAGTAGTGATCTAAAAAAACTTATATCACTTTATAGAGGGAGTAGAAAGGAAGTTTGGCAGCTAGAAAAAAAGAAGAAGTTTGGCAGCTAGAAAAAAAGGAAGTTTGAAATAAATATAATCCGGAGACATCGTCTCCTGCAGCTACTTGCCCGTCCAGCACAAAGATGTACTACCTTTTTTTTGCAAGTGAAAGATGTACTGCCTCATTAGCTTTCTCTTCCAACATGAACACTACTATATGTCAAATATTCGTTTCTCAAGAAAACTAGTTGCCAAACTTACTACTATCATTAGAAATTTTTGGTGGACAAGAATAAAAGAAGACCCATCCAAGATAGCTCTTTGTCTCAGGGCATGGAAGGACATGTGCACCCCAAAAGTAGAAGGGGTCTTGGAGTCAAGAACATTCAAGCAGTTAACATAGGCCTAACCCTGTTAGCGGCTTGGAGAATTGCGGATGAACCACAAAGCTTCTTGTCACATGTACTTAAATATAAATATTTTCCCGTGACTTCTATTTGGAGAGCAAAAAGCAACATTCCAAAAGTAAGTTTTTGGGCTTCAATTATTAAGGCAAGACACATTCTTCAAGCAAATTCAATCTATCAAATTCTTGATGGCAATTCCTCCATTTGGAGCACTCCTTGGTTTCCTCATTGGCAATCTATTTACGAGCATTTGCAAATACAATCGGGGCATTCTGTCTATCCTTCTCAGATCGAGGATTTGTGGAACCAAAATTAGAAAAACATGGAATGCTAGACTTATTTACAATCTTTTTGATCATGAGGTAGCTAGTAGCATCATGCAGGTACTGATTATTCAACAAGAGGGAACTAATCTCCTCTGCTAGAGATTGCACCCTTCAGGTAAATGCACGTCAAAATCAGCTATTAAAGCATGTCTTCAAGACTTGCAACAGTAGGGATCTACATTGCCTAGACAGGTACCTCAAGAGATTAAACAACTGCTCAAGTAGGTTTGGAAAGAGAAGACTATGGTTCCAAGGGTACTGCCTTTTGCTTAGGGGCTCTTGAGGAAAGCACTTCCAACAGGTATGAGAGCAGGGAAATATTCCAAGCTTATTAAGAAAAGTTGCATTAGATGCGATCAGGATGAAGATGACATGCATCTTTTCTTTACTTGCCCCCTTTGCTAGAGCATCTTGGGTAGCTCATGCTTGGTTTATTGAATATGAAATTCTTTCTAACAACTATGCTAGTATTGCAGAAATTATCAATGCTCTTCTTAACTCAGGGCATCCACATGCCTCTCTCATTAATATAATGACTTTTCTTTGGTGCATATGGAAAGCGAGGAATGATACTATTTTCGATAGGAAAGAGACCAAGCTTATACATGTATTCCAAATTATGCAGGCCATTCTAAATAATCAGGAGCTAATACTTCAATCACAATAAGAAGGGCAGGGTCTTAGTCAAGATGAGCATAAAGCTCACAATAACAGGATATAATGCAAGCTACTACCCCAAATTGCAAAGTCTTTATAGACGCGGCATGGAAACCTGATATACAAAACACCACACGCTAGGAACTTTCATAGAAATGACTAGTAAACATCAAGTGGTCAACATCAATATTGGTTTATCCGAGGAGCAAATCGTGTTGCCTCTCCAAGTAGAAGCTAAGACACTTCAGGTAGCTGCCCAAGTGATCACTACAATCACAAAGGAGACATCGTCTTATTCACGAACAATCAGGTTTTGGCCCAGGCCGCACAAGCAAGAGATATCCTTAAATGCCCTGGTCAGTGGGAGATTATAAGCCAATTGGCAAATCTGTTTAGCTCTACTAGTAAGGCTCAGATAACCGTTAGACACATTCCCAGGGAGCTTAATAGCAGGGCTCACAACAATGAGGCTAGAGCATACTCTTTAGAATCCAATACTAGTCCTACAATGGTTTTAATAGCAGGTCCCACTCAATTGATCACTGTCATATGCTTTTAAAGCTAGGCAATCTGAACATCAGACATTGTAAAACCATGTGTGACTTGTTCTTCAGATTAATGGATAGGCGCCTAAGGCGCCATCTCTTTCTCCACAAAAACACCTCTCTAAAAAAACACCGACCCACCGAAATCTTAAATTTTTGAAGAATGCTTGCTAGTTCCGATCTACCTTCTCCTCTTTGCTTTCATAGGTCAATTACACCTTGAGCGTCAGTTTCAATAAGCACATGTCGTAGTCTCATATCACATGCTAATCGCACGCCATCCTATACCACATAGGCTTCCATGGTAGAGCATTTGGTGCATGCGCAAGTCAAAGAGTCTGAGCCCGAATCAAAGCTCCGTCATTTCTATGAACAGTAGCACCTGTAGCACCCTGATGGCCAGCCACTACAAAACTTGTTTGAGATCTATGAATTTCTTTGAGATCTTTAGTTTTCTTTGCTGCATTATTCTCTTCAGTATACCCTCTCCAATCTATTAGTCTTTCTTTTGACAAATTTGATATTTGATCTCCAAGAGGGACATGTGTATGATAGTTAGTGTTAGGGCATATTTCTCCCTAAGTGGTTTTGGTGATTGATGACAATGCATTTGCGGACTAATCGTGTGCATTGAGCATTTCAGATAATTTATCATATGGCACAAGACGATTCGTGCCCCTCGGAGCTATTACGAAGACGGTGTTTTTTCTTATGTTCCATTTTTGGTGGATTTGAGTCGTAGAATCATTATACTATTAAGAGGGGGTCCGCTTCGGAATGGTTTGGGTGAAATCAACACGTACATAGTCTATTTGCACCCTCCTTCTTTCCCGGAAATTGAGCTTGTCCTTCCTATATGCATGGGCTTTCCAAAGTCACTTAAGCGGTAGTACCGCTCTGCTCAGCAGTAGTACCGCTTAAGCGGTAGTGCCATAGTTCAGTGCTGCCAACACTTCCGCTTGTTTTTTGTGTTCTATAAATGGGTGGTAGTTGAGCGGTAGCTCAACGTGGTAGTACCGCTCTAGCGGTACCGCGGCCCTGACTACCACCCCACGACCGCAGATTTACTGGGCCTCTAACAGCTAAGCGGAAGTACTGCTCATGCGGAGCGCTAGCACCGCTCCGATAGAACTACCACTGTTCCACTACCACACGAAGTACCGCTTATATTTTGCTCTCTGGACTACTATGTCCCTCAAGCGGAAGTAGAGCGGCAGTTCCCAGCGGTAGTACCGCGCTACGCGACACTACCGCCCTGCCTTTATCTACTATCACTGGTTCCGATTGTTGCTCAACACTAGGCGGAAGTACCGTTGGTGGGTGCGGTAGTACCGCTCTGGCGGCACTACCGCCTCCCTAGCCTACTCAGTTGAATGCAACGCCTGGATCTTCCGTGTCACAAGCTCCATTATAAAATTTAGTCATCTTCTTCAAGTTGACTTACCTCTTCCTCCCCCAAGCTCCATTATTGCTCACGAACTCATTTTCGCCCGAACTATCTCCCTAGCCAATCAAACTTGTTGATTCTTTAGGGATTGGTTGAGAAGGCCTAGATCTACACTTCCACCAAGAGAAATTTAATTACCCCCACTAATCCCTTGCGGATCTTGTTACTCATGGGTGTTTGGGCACCCTAGATGGTTGAGGTCACCTCGGAGCCACATTCCATTGTGGTAAAGCTTCATGGGGTGTTGGGAGCCTCCAATTCAGTTTTGGAGAGAGCCCCAACCTTGTTTGTAAAGTTCCGGTTGCTGCCTTCAAGGGCACCACTAGTGGAATCACGACATCATGCATTGTGCGAGGGCGTGAGGAGAATACGGTGGCCCTAGTGGTTTCTTGGGGAGCATTGTGCCTCCACATCACTCCAACGGAGACGTACTTCCCCTCAAAGAGAAGGAACTTTGGTAACACATCCTCTTCTCCACCGACTCCACTTGTGGTTATCTCTTACCTTTACTTTGTGCAAGCTTTACTTGTGTAGTTTATCTTGCTTGCTTGTGTTGTTGTTGTGGCTTGCATCATATAGGTTGTTCACCTAGTTGCATATCTAGACAACCTGTTTGTTGCTAAACCTAATTTGCTAAGAAAAATTAAAAATTGGTAGTTGCCTCTTCACCCCCTATAGTCAACCATGGTATTAGGGCCTCGTCTCTTTATTAAGGGTTTCACCACCCGAAGAGTATGGTTGGTGGCGGGGATAGGGATGAGGAAGTACTCGAGGCCGTGGAGTTGAACTCGATCACCCATGATGACTTAAATGAAGTTATGGCTTCACTTAAGACGTCTATGATGGCCGAGGTCAAGTCCATGCTTAAAGAACTACTTGAGGGGTTGAAATCTTCTCCCGATCCGTTGCTTGTGGTTAATCTCACCGCATCGATGGCCAAGGCCA